TGGTGGCGGGCGGCCTGGAAGACATTACACGGCTGTCGGCCGCGGGCGTCGCTCCCAGTTCCGGAGGCTCCCGGCGGCGGACGCGCGGGGCCAGGGGACGGCCCGCCACAAAGCGCGCTTTGTTCTGCGCTCCCCCCGGAGCTGGAACCAATGGATTGGCGGCCGCGGAGGTCAGGGGCCAGGCAGCGCGGGCAGCCGCGAGGGGCGGGGCGGGCGCCGGGGCCGCGGGGCCCGGGTGGGGGCCGGGACCCCGCAGGCCAGCTGGGCCCGCAGCAGGTCGCCTGGGCCTCCGTTTACCCGTCTGTCCAACGGGAAGGTCATTGCTGGTACCCGGTCACCTCTTGGGTCTGCTCTGAGGCTCCACTAGGGCAGTCAGGGAGGTCCTGCTGCTGGTGCAGGTGCAGGTGACGGAGGGGGCAGCCTGGGGGTGGTGCGGCTGGGGGGATGGGGGATGAAGACGGCCCTTTTCGGGGGAGGGGGTACTGAGGATTGAACTCAGGGGCACTCCACCACTGAGCCACATCCCCAGCCCGATTTTGTATTTTATTTAGAGACAGACAGGGTCTCGCTGAGTTGCTTAGCTCCTTGATTTTGCTGAGGCTGGCTTTGAACTCGCGATCCTCCTGCCTCAGCCTCCCGAGGAGGCTGGGATTACAGCTGTGCGCAACCATGCCCCGCAAGACATCCTTTTTATAAAGAGTGGGTCCTCACTTCCTGCTCTGTGGGAGGGCTGGGGCCAGGGGCTGGGAGGGACACTGGAAGTGAGTGTGGTTTGTAACACACAGTGTAAGAGTTTAGAGGCAGGGATGATGTCTTTGGTCCTTTCCAACCCAGGGCAGCCAGGACCTCTCCTCAGTTCCCTGATTTGATCCTGGATGCCAGGCTTGGCTTGTCTCCTCCAGCACTGGCAGGTGGAACTGCTCAGGCTGGGCCCAGGGACCAGGTGGAGTCCATCCTTGGTATTGACTGACACAGGGTAAGGAAGGGCAGAAACCACCCAGAGAGCGTTTTTTTTTTTTTTTTCTGACTGGAGGCAGGTCAGAGTCTGAATTCTATCCTCTACTCCCTACAGAACTAGAGCCCAGCCAGGACCGTGTTGCATGAATTCCAGCTGGTGGGGAGGCTAAGGCTGGAGGACTGCAAGTTCAAAGCCAGCCTTAGCAACTTAGTGAGACCCTGTCTCTAAATTTAAAATAAAAATGGCTAGAGTTGTTGCTCAGTGGTTAAGTACCCTTGGGTTCAATCCCTGATATAAAAAGAAAAAGAAAGAAAGAAAGTAGAGCTCATTAATCCACTCACACACCCCATCTGCATGTGCCCCCACCCCCATGAGACAATTAGGTTTGGAATCAGAATCCCCTGGGGGAGCAGGCTATCAGGTACAGGGAGCCCCAGAGATTGCCTGAAATATGTGTATGTCTTCCTGGGGGAAGGGCTCAAGGCTTTCTCTGGTTCTCAGCTATGTTCGTGAATCCCTGCCCTCCACCAGCAAAAAAAGTGTTAGAAGCACTGGTTGGCTTCCAAATCCGGGGTGGTGGTGGTGGTGGTGGTGGTGGTGGTGCAGCACTGGGAACTGTTATTTTGGAGAGCAACTTGCCACTCTTAGAAGTTGGAAATGAACCTGTGTGCCGGCCCGACTCTGCCACCGCTAGGCATGATTGAGAGCAGAGTGGTGGTGGAGAACCGGTACAGCAATGAACACTGGGAAACTCCTAAATGTCCATTTACAGGAGGATGAAGAATAATACATGGTCATACCACACCGTGCCGCACCCACCCAGTAATGAAAAAGCATGGGCTACACCGACATGGAATTCATGTACTTCACAGCTGTTTATTGAACACTTACTATGTATCAGGTGCTGTGCTTAGCACAGGCTCCCTGTGGTAAGCAAGACAGGCCCAGTATTGCCTCAAGAATCCTTATCCAGGCATGGTAGCGCATACATGTAATCCCAGCTGTTCAAAGAGGCTTGGGCGGGAGGATCGCAAGTTCAAGGCCAACCTCAGAAACTCAGTGAGGTCCTAAGCAACTTAGGGGTGCTTGTCTCAAAATGATGTATAAAAAGGGCTGGGGATGTAACTCAGGGGTTACGCATCCCTGGGTTCAATCCCTGGTACTACTACTAGTACTACTATGGGTGAGGCAGATAGGAACAGACACAGAGGATCATTTTAGAGAGTGATAAAAGCTATGAAGAAAATAAAACTTGGGACAGGGACAGAATGATGGGGAAAAGCCCTTCAGAAGAAGTAATCTTTGGGCAGAGACCAGAATGCGGGAACTCTGGGAGAAGAGCACAGTGCCAATGGGGCAGGTGGCCAGGGCACGCTGCCAGGGGCAATCTGCAAGGGAACTCACACATGTTCACTACTGCAAGGGCAGATGGAAGGCAGGAAGGGCACAGCCTAATCCCTGAACGTAAATGTCCCCAAAGGGCACAGGGAAAACCAGGACCAGCACTCATGGTGGGCTTTGATATTTTAATTTTTATTTATTTAACATTTTAATACCTTATTGTTTTATCTTAACCTAAATATACTACATGTAACTATGAATTTTAAAACTGATCTAAAATCGACCATCTGTGGGTTCTAGAGCATGGAGGGGCCTCAGGGGTTCCCCACACACTGCCTTCACTGCATCCAAGTTCCTGGGGGCAGGGGTTTGTTTGGGAGGGGACCCACATGACCATGGGAGCCCCAAAGAGGCACCATAGCCCAGCTTGGAAGGGTCTAGAAGCTTCTTGGAGGAAGTGCCTCCTTTTGGAAGGGTCCATGACACAGAGCAAGTGCAGAAGGGATGAGCAGAACCCGAAGCTCCAGACTCCCAGTGAGGTCCCCAGCTTCTCTGAGCCCCAGTCACCTGTCCCTGGCTAGGCCCTTCCAGCCAGCAGCTGTTTTGTGGGCCAGAGGCCCAGCCTTGCTCGGTGGGGCTGGGAAGCAGCACCACCTGCTGGTCCAAGTGGGAAATGCAGCTCTCAGGCGGCCTCCAGAGCATCATCAGGTCACACCCTTAAAACCCCAGCTCCTCCAAAGTGTGACCTGACCTGTTCTGCACCACCCACTCAGGGCCTGCCTGGCTGGGTCTTCTCTACAAGAAGGAAAAGTCCTTTCAGAAGGGAGAGGCCAGCCTCACTTACTTCAGCCTGGAGGCCTGAGGGGCTCATTCATGCAGGGCACCTCAAAGCAGCAGTTTACGGGACACGTCCTCCCTGCACACTTAGGGGCAGACGGTCTATTTGACAGCCTGGGGAAATCCTCCAGGGAAGGCAAAGACATGCCCAATGTCACCCATCGAGTGGGTCCACCAGCTGGTTCAGAACCCAGATCTCCTGGGCCCCACCCAAGGGTCTTGCCTCTGCCCTGGGAGCGCTGGTGTGTGGGGTGTCACCGTATTGGAAAATAACCAAGGCAGTCTGAATCAGCCGTTCTCAGCCTGAGGTCCCTACACAGCAGATTGGCATCACCCAGGAATTTGTTAGCTGTGCACATTCTTGAGCGGAGTCAACCGACCTGTTGGATCAGAAACTGGGGGCGGAGTCCACCAACCCAGCCTGAGCGTCCGAACCAACTAAGGCAACCGCAGCCCTAATTTTATTAAATAAATGTTTAATTTGGAATGACTTTAGACTTATGGAAAAAGTACAGAGATAGTGCAAAGAGATCCCACCCTCTCCACCCAGCCCGCCCCAACAGCTTCACAATAAATCGACTTCACAGATGACCACAGTACATTTGCCAAAACCAAGGCCGACATTGGTATAGTATTAACTAACATCCAGACTTTATCATCAGAGTCCCAGCTGTTCTGCTAATGTCTTGTTTTTGGTTGTGGTTGTTGTTCCAAGATCTAATCCAGGATGCCACACTGCATTCTATACCTTTCCAATCCTATTCCCCAGGACGCCCAATGGATGGGGAAAGCTGTTGTCCTCACTACCGAGCTGGGGAAACTAAGGCTTGGAGTTGCCAAGTGGCTGAGTTGCCTAAGGCCAGCCAGAACAAGCCCCACCTCACTCTGCAACCTTCTGGAATTCTTCTGGAATGTTCCACCTGCCAATCTCATCTCACCCATGCTGATGAGATGCCCATACTAGAGTGGATCTGGCCCTTGGAGACCCAGATTCTGCCTTATCACCTTGTCCCCTAGACTTTGAGGGCCAGGACATTGTCTTAGTGACATAAGACTGGCCAAAGTGAGGCCCTGTGTGTGGAGAGGGGGGGGGAGGGAGAGGGAGAGGGAGAAGGAGGAGTTATTTGACACCTATTTGTGATAGATGAACAATGGCCCCAAGTTCTCTGCAGTTCCCCTCATCGAGAGGTGTAGTGGTTTCTGTCCTTTGACTCTGGACAAAGACTTACGATTTGCTCTGATCAAAAGAACCTAGAAGTGACACTGTCACAGTCCCTAACCTAGAGTTCTAGAAGTTCTAGTTCTGACTCTTTTGGAATCTTGAGGCCAAAATCTGGTGAACAAGCCTGAGTTAGCCTGTTGGAAGAGAATCAAGCCACCCCGGCCACAGCCAGTCATCTGCCTGACAAGCGAGTAGCCCCGGCTTAGGTGACAGCTGAGAATAGCCCCAGGCAGGACATCAGAGCTGCCCAGCCCAAGTTGCCAACCCACAGAATTATACGTAAAGAAATAACTTTGGGGCTGCTAAGGACGGAAGGCTTCTGTCACAGTGAAGTCTCACCAATACCCTGCTCCTCCTCTCTCCTGGCATCCCAATTTTATTTCAGCAGGCAACATGCCGGTCGCAGAAGATGGGACATGACTGGTGTGCTCAACCATGACAGTTCTGTTCCCCGCTGTCTTACCTTTCTTTGCAGTTACGTATGGCCGGCCCAGGAGACCTAAGCAGATATATGCAGGGGAGAGGGCAGGCAGGACCCAAGCCTCTGGAAGAGGTTTTACTTTCTGGTAGAAGTTGACAGGCCCAGGTGACCTGTCCCTTCCTCTTTAGCAACACCTCTCCCTTAAAGACAGACACGATTCCTGGAGACACAGCAGCCATCTTGTGACCATGAAGTAGCAAACAAGGAGGACAGGGCAAAGGGATCACAGAGATATAAGCCCTGCCTTCACTGCACTGTTGAAGTGACACCATTTGGGCCATTTGTTTCCAGAATTCATGCTGTGTGGAAAAATAAACCTCTCCTTGTTAACTGGAACCTAGGCTTTCCTTTACTTGCAGCCGAACGTAATCACAGAGCAAGGTATCATGAAGAGTGTGAAGAAGGGCCTTGTCCTTGGGACTCTGGAGCCAGCAGCTTGCAGCTCTCCAAGTCCATCTCTTTTCTCATCTCATCTTCAACAGTCCTTGGAGGATAAGGCCATGATCATACTTTCAGAGGTGACAACTGGGGCTCCCACCCTGTTCTGCCTGAGTCCAAGGCCTGGCCGTTAGCAAAGGCAGAGCCAGAGTCAGACGGTCCCCCAAGGCACAAAGAAACCGCACACATCCCTGCTGTGCCTTCTGCGTGGCCCCGCCTGCTGGCCAGGTGGAATTCCGGGCTCCTGGGGTGGGAGGAGGCTGCTACTGCAGGTCGGGAGTGGAGGCCCCCAGGTAGACCCGCAGGTCCGAGAGGGTGGACTGGACCAGCTTGGCAGGGATGGTCTCGCGCTGCAGCTGCTGGTAGGCCGCGTAGCGGTGGCAGCCCCCGAAGGAGTAGAAGTAGTTGCCCCCCTGGGCCCCTTTGATCCAGAGGACGTCGATGGGGGGCACGCTGTCCGGGTCCTCCTGCGGAGAAGGGCACAGGGCAGTGAGCACGGCCCCGGGCCAGAGTGGCGCTCCAACAGGGAGCTCCTCGCTCCAGCGGGCGAGGCCAGGTGTGCAGGCTGGAGGCGCCACGAGGGCAGCTTGAGCCTCGGCCTCGGGACAGTGTGCATATCAGGGCAGTGGGCAGCTGCCAGCAGACCCGGCGGGGAGTCACTTACCTACACTCCACATCTGGCCCTGTCCTAGACCCTGGGGATGAGGCACAGCCAGGACAGACACGGTCCCTGTGCACACGGGGCCGTGGGTTACTGGGACAGATGGAGCGAAGAAGGGACCGCTGCGTGGTAAGGGCTAGGAAGACAATAACGCAGGTGACAAGACAAGGAAGGGGTCCTCGAGGGCTCTGAGAGGGGACAGTGACGCAGAGAGGCACCTGGGAAGCCAGCGGTGGGAGCAGTTTAGATGAACTGCCTGGGTTCAGAGCTCGGCTACTCGGGCTGTTCACTGGTGCCTCAGTTGCCCTCTCTGTCAAATGGGGATGGAGACGCAGACACACCTCCTGCAGCTCTGGGGTTCCACGGGCCATAATGTCTGCTGGTTCCTACCTGAGGAACGGCATTCCAGGCAGCGGGAAGAGCAAACGCAAGAGCCCTGAGGTGGGACCACGGTGGTGGAGAGCACGGTGAGGAGGCCAGTGTGACCAGAGTGGACTCAAGGCATGAAGGAGGCAAAGTGATCAGAGAGGTCAAGCAGAAGCCAAATGAGGCAGAGTGAAGGGTGTGCAGTCAGGAGGTTTTTGTTTGTTTTGGTACCAGGGATTGAACCCAGGGGGTGCTCAACCACGGAGCCACATCCCCAGCTCTGTTGATTTTTAATTTTGAGACAGGGTCTCCCTATGTTGCTTAGGGCCTCACTAAATTGCTGAGGCTGGCCTTGAACTTGCGATCCTCCCGTCTCAGCCTTCAGAGCGGTTGGGATTACAGGCAGGCCCCATTGCACCTGGAGGGCTGGAGCATTTTGAACCTGATGGGATGCCATTCTAGAAATGTGCCCAGAGCAGGCTTAGCGGGGTGGACAGAGGAGAGGCCTCCAGAGGTGTTCAGCAGAAGATGCTGCCCTGGCTGCTGGTGTGGGGGGAACCGGGAGAGGGCACAGCAGGTTGGAGGCGTCAGGCAGAGAGGGGGCTAGGAGGGCAAGAGAAAGAGGAGGGTCGAAGGCGATTTCCCAGTAGGGCCTGAGATCGGGTGGGTGTCCTCTAAGTGGGGAGAGCCTGGGGCAGGGCAGGGAGCGGGGTGAGCACAGTAGGGAGACCCTAATAAGTGGGACTGGCCTAGAAGGAAGGCCTCTGCCACTGACCCACAGGACCCCTCTGGAGCTGGCTGATGGTTCACGACCCCACGTTGCCCCAGTGAGCATGAGGCACGTCGTCACAAGCCAGTGCTCCGGAACCAGGAAAACTCAAATTTGGTCTCAGCTCTGAGCGGCTGGGGGATTCTGTGCATTGGCCTCAACTCTGAACACTGCTGCTCACCCATAGGTGGGAATGAGGCACCCACCAGGGTGGCTGCTAAGGAGGTGGTGAGTGGGTGCCTGAGAGATGTTAGTGGAAGCATCTACACCGCCCTGCAGGCGGATAGTGGGTGGGCACAATAAGGATCCCTACAGATGTCTGAGTCTTAATCCTTAAAGCCTGTGAATATGTCACCTTACAGGATAGAAAGGATTTTGCAGATGGACTTAAGGTCAGGATCTTAAGACAGAAGGTCATGGTGGGATGACCCAGATGGGTTGAAGGGACTCACCAGGATCCTTGGAGTGGAGGAGGGTGGCACAAGTGGAGGCTGGAGTGAAGCAATGTGGGGAGGCCGTGAGTCACAGGCACAGGGGCACATCTGTAATAACGCCCCGCAGCCCGGGAGGCCGAGGCAGGAGGATCGCAAGTTCCAGGCCAACCTCAGCAATTACGCAAGGCCCTAAGCAACTCAGTGAGACTCTGTCTCAGAATGAAAAATCCAAAAGGCCAAAGATGTAGCTCAATGGTAAAGCGCCTCCAGGCTCAACCCCTAAACAAACAAACAACAGCCAAGGAGCGCGACAGTCTCAAGGTGTCACAGTTGGCAAAGCAAGAAAACGGACTCTCCCAGAGCCTCTAGAACACAACCCCACTGACACCTTATTTCAGCCCAGTGGAACCCACTCTGGACTTGTGAACCACAGAACTGTAAAACAGGACCTCAGCGTTGCTTTAAGCCATGAACTCTGTGGTAACGGGCTACCGCGGCCGTAGAAAATGAGTCCAGTAGGAAAGTTAGCGGAGGCAGGCCCCGTCCTTGCCTCACCCAGGCTACGGTTTAGCACCAGAGATGGGCGTCTCAACGCAGGGGGACCACAGCTATGCTGGTGGGGTCATGGGAGGCTTCCAGGACACAGGGGACCCCTAATCCAGCAAGGGAGGGCAGGAAAGAGGCTGGCCCTGAGGTAGGAGGCCTGAGGGAGAGTCAGAGGCTATGCACAAGAGTTTCCTGCAGGGAAAGAGGCCCCGCAGAGGCCCAGCAATGGCGAGGGTGTGCAGGGCTGGACCCCTCCACTGAGAGCCAGGTCCTGAGGCAGGGCTGAGGCCACAGGCAAGACCACAGAGTCCCTGCTCCTGTGGAGTTCACACAACGGAGACAGAACAATACAACACACAATTTCTGGTAGACTAGAGTGCTATCCAGAACACCTCAGGATAAGGGGGGAGCAAGAGGCCAAGGCTCCATCTGCAAGGTGGTCAAGGGAACAGAGACCTATGGCAAGCGGCGGAGCAGGTGCTGTGGCTATCTGCAGCGGTGGCTCTAGGCAGTGGGGACAGAGTGCACATTCTAGGACTGGAGACCTGGGGGCTGGCTGTATAGGCGTTTGGTGGGGTTTAGAAGTGTCCCCACCCCTCCTCTCCTCCATCCCTCACTTTCCAAGGGTCTGAGAGAAGGGGACAGGAAGCCACCTGGGCCTAATGTGACATATATTCCTGAGTGTCCCCCTTCCTGCCAGGGAGGGTCACTCCAGCCTTCTTTTGCCTTTTGCAGGACTAGGGATGGAGCCCAGGGCCTCGCACAAGCTAGGTGCCTGCGTTCCCCGGACTACACCCCCAGACTTTTAACTTTTTTTTGAGCCAGGATCTTGCTAAACTGCCCAGAGGCCTCCGCCTCCCAATCAGAGCCCAGTCCACCTGTCGCCCAGCCAGGGCTCCACTCCCGCATTCCTGAGCACTGTGTCTCTGGGATGAAGCTGACCCTTGTCCTCTCCCATTTCTCTTCCAGACAGGGCCCTCCCACGGACATGACACACCCAGTTCCATTGCCACTGTCACAGGTGGAAGGGAAGTCATGGCTTATCTTTGGATAGGGTGGTGGCCACTCAGCTGGGTATTGGGGCCAGGCAACCTGGGTGTGAATTCCCATTGCGCCACTTTCCAAGTGCCTGACCTTGAACAAGTTGCTGGAATCCGCCTGTACCTCCGTTTTTAGGGACAGCATCTGCCTCGCAGGGTTGGCACAAGAAGCTAAGGGCTTAAAACAGCTCCTGCGTCACGGCAAGCGCTATCTTTATAAGTTAGCAATCATTATTTTAATCATCTATTTCAATCCCCTTCTTGCTCAAACGAGGAAACAGAGTGCCCAGAGAGGCCCGGCCACTTGCTCAAGGTCACACAGCCAACGCTGGGCTCCGAGAGAGCCCGGAACCAGTCCCACCTCGCGTCCGGCGCGACCTCCCTCCTCCCGAGCCCTCCCTCCGCGGACGGCCTCCCCGGGGACTCACCCGGATCGTGTCCACCAGGCTCTGCACCTTGGCCGGGTCCAGCACCGACGGCAGTGGACGGATGAGCACGCTCAGCGGCACGTTGTGCACCGCAGCGATGCAGCCCGAGTGGATGCTGCCGCCCTGAGCGCCGCCGCCCGACCCGGGACCCTCGGGCGCCCCGCGGCTGGCGCCGGTCCTGCCGCCAGCGCGCAGCCCCATCGCGCGGTCGCCGCTAGCCCAGCCGCCTCCCGGGCCTCACCTCCGGCCGGGCCGTACCACTCAGCGCCGCCGGTGGGGGCCGCAGGCAGGCGCCTCCCCCCGGGCCCGCAGTGGTCCGGCCGGTCCCGCGGTCTCCACCCGCACACGCCCCGCTCCCCCGGCGCCCGCGACCCGCGCGACCACGGGTCTCCACTGGGGGGCGCCCCTCCGCCGGCGCTGGCCGCGGCCCCGGGAGTGGAAGCGCCCGGGCGGGCTGACTCAGGGTGAGTTTGCAGGTCGCGTGGCGGGAGGAGCGAGTGTGACGCACAGCGAGGGTGACTCAGGCCCGCTGGGGCGGGAGGGGGCGGCGGCCGGACTTGCAGAGCCAGGATGAGTCGGCAAAACCGCGAGCGCGTCCGCCCTCGGCGTCCGAGCTTCGGGGACGCCTGCCACGGAGGTGAGACCGTGGCGACTCCAGGAACGGTAGGGACGTGGCACTGACCGTGCAGGCGCAGTTCGGGACACTTTGCGGGTGGATGATTTATTCCCCCCCCCCCACCACCACCAGCCCTGCAAGGTAGGGACGATGATCATTCCCATTCTGCAAAAGAGGAAACTGAGGCACAGAGAAGTTTACACGGTTTACCCTGGGTCACAGAGCTAGATAAGTGACGGAACCAGGGCTCAAATCCTGTCTACCTGCCCTCTAGGCCGCTCTCCGCCCCACCCCTGGCTCCCTGTTCAGCACCAGTAAGTGCCCCAGGGAGCCATTCTGGACAGAGCTGGCGCTGCCCAGAGCTCCACAGTGTCCCATCCCATCATCCAACGCCACCTAGGAAGTGGGCATGGCTTCGGAACACGGGTCCAAGGTAGATCAGCTGAAATGAGAGGTTATCTGAGGGCAAAGGGGAGGCCACCTAGCAGGTCCCCAGCTCCAAGCAGGGACACGGATGGCTTGGCTTTCTTCCTGTGGACACACACGTGCATAATACCCACCCCGGCAGCAGGGGAAACCAGAGATGGCTGGGAGTGGGGTGAAGCTCAAGGGCCAGGGGCCTTTCGGTTAGAACACCTTCTAAACCCCATCTGTGCAATGAGGCGACGCTGCCCATCCCTCAAAGCTGTGAGTGTGAGCAGAGAGAATGCAGCTGGGTGTTTGAGCTGCCTGAGCTCCTTCCTGGTGCATTATGGGTCTCTCACCAAATTTTGGAACCCTGAAGTCCTCAGGACTTTGACCTTGACCTCTCCCTTTCTGCAGTTCCCAAACAATCCCTGTGAGCACTAAATCACACCCTGTCTCAGAATCCTTAGCCCCAGGATTATGGAGAATTGGAAGATTTCAATAAGAAGCTGTCCCTTCCCGAACTACTTCCTCAGTATAGGAGGTAAAGAAGGCAGGATCATAGTTGCTGGAGTGGAAAAGTGGAGATTTGACCCAATTCTGTCATTGGGGGCCTCCTCAGTGAGGCCCTGATCCTGGTATCAAATTCTGTTATGTTGAGACACCCAGGGCCCAATCCCAATGGCTTAAATATTGTTTTCTCACATAACAAAAGCTTGGAGGTGGCTGTATCCAAACTTGAAAAGTGTCATCAAAAATCCAGGTTCTGTTCATTTTTTGGTGCCAATTTTCTTAGGTTTACCCCTCATGGTCCCAAGGTGGCTGCTGTAGCTCCAAGTATCAATAACTATAAAACAACATTTAAAGATGGAAGTTAGGACATTCCTTTATGCCTCTTTTTAAAGAGTGAATAAACCTATCATTTGTTGTTCCCCTTCCTGCCCCTTCAGGATCAAGAATTATATGTCCATGTCCAAACCAATCCCTGGCAAGGGGAGTGAAATTACCATGTTTGCCTTAGCTTGACCGGTGTTCACCTTTGGGCTCAAAAGGGTTTGCCCTTCCTGAAATGCATGACCCACGATCTCAGAACAGAACTGAGGAGGCCTGGTAGCAGCAACCTAGTTCTCCTGTGGGCTCCTCCTTCCCTCTACTCTCAGGACCTGTGGTTGCCAAGGCAACCCCATTTTCTGGGGATGGGGGGGGAGGGGCAGAGGACTTGACCTGCCCTGCCCAGTCAGCATTTCCTTTATGTTGGTCTGTGTGTCCCCAAGCCAATGTGACTCGGACGTCATCCTTTTGTTGGGATGAATTGGGCATCTCACCTTCACAAGCCTAGAACCGAAGCCGACATCATTGTCCCTTAGGTTGGATGCTCTCAAAAGCAGACCCTGAGGTAAGGATGTGTGTGGGTGGCTTATTTGGGAGCTGTTCTGGTTTTTATTGCTGCAAAATAAATCACTCCAAAATCAGTGGCATAAAACAGTCATTTATTATCCCCAGATTCTGTGGGTCAGTGACTCAGATGGGAACCTGGGGGACTAGTGTTTCTTCTCTCCAGTGTCTGGGCCATGGCAGGGAGGTGACTCAGCAGCTGGGAGACTTGGTGGCTGAGTCACAGGGTCTCGCTAAGTTGCTTAGGACCTCACTAAGTTGCTGAGGCTGGCTTTGAACTTGTGATCCTCCTGCCTCAGCCTCCCGAGCTGCTGGGATCACAGGCTGGCGCCACCATAGCCATCATGCTCATCCTGCGCGGCCCCCTGTCTCCCTGTTTTCCTCTCCATCTCCGTCCCCTCTGCTGACCTCCTAAGTTCTGTTTTAATTTCATGTAGAAGAGTTGCCTCTTCCTCTGGGATCTTGGGTGCACGTTGAGCAGCTCCTTGGGGTGCTGAGGCAGGTTTGCTCTTCCATTGCTGCTTCTTATGAACAAGATGAGTTCCAGGGCCAACGGGACAACCCCCGTCTTTGTTCACATCCAGTAGGAAAGAGAGAGAGAGAATCCATTCCAGCAATGGTGATAGGAAATTCTTCCTCCGTTCAGTCTGATTGGCCAGCTTGAGTCATGTGACTGCCCGAGATTACTCACTCCTCCTGGGACCTGCCATGTGCTGAGCTGCTTAAACAGGGGTGCAGGGGCCTGGCACTCATTGGGATGACTGTGAGGGCTGAGCGGGGACCCCTTAGTCATCCTCTTGGGGTTAGCCTGCTCCAAGCCACCTGCACCTGGCTAAGCAATGGGCAGATGTCCGATGAATCCTGCTGTCACTGGTTCCTCCCTCGACTCACCTTTGATTTCATCTGCAGTTGTGCTGCAAAGTTCCATGCAAGCTCAGACTTGAGCCCCTGTGTCTTCACATCCCCATCCTTGGGGAGCTCTGCCCACACACAGGCACACACCAGAGGGGGACAGCAGCTGTTCTCCAGGTGCTGATCTCTGCCATCCCAGGTGGGCAACTTGAGGAGTGTTCTAGACCATTTGGACCTTTCTAGAACCTTCTCCGAGACCAGCAGTAGGCAGCCCTTAGCTACAACAGTGGCCTCACTAACACACTCTCTGCCCTATTCTTCTTGCCCCTCATTTCTGCCTTCTGGGGTCCCCCCATGTAAACACCTTGCACTCAAGACCCAGACTTTCCTATCAGGGAGCCAAAACTGAGGCAAAGGGGCAGGTGACATGGGGTCACCGCCTCTGGTTCTGCACTTTGCCTGGCTTAAAACTCAGGTGCGTGATCTTGGGCCAGCCACCTGTTGTGCCTCGGTTTCCTGATTGCAAAGTGGACTGCATGATGTCACCTCATCTGAGGGGTCTTGGAGATATAAGAAGAGATGATGTGAAGTCAAGTCCTTAGGAAAGCGCAAAGCATCCTGAACATTTTAAATGACGAACAGATCTCGGCGATCTCCGCGTCTGCACTTCCAGAGTAGTTTTGAGGCGTTAGTCCAGACTCTTCTTTGCAAGTGACAGAAGCCAAAGTGAACCAGCTGATGGCGACAGGCTGCCCCTTGGCTGTGGGTGAAGCTGCACCTCCAGGAAAAGTGAGTTCAGAGATTGTTCAGTCTGGGTGATGCTGGCACCACTCAGGGGCAGAATCGCTGGAGGAGAATTGCAGCTTCTTCCAGGGGACCGTGAAAGGGGATGGCATCCTACTCCAGCTGAGCTGCCCTGGGCTGCAGGTAACAGGGCCCCTGTTCAGCCGACAGAACCCCTTAACCACTCAGTTTTGTGAATATTATTATGAATGATGATACACACAAGCCATGGATATATACTAATATTATAATTATATTCTTACTCTTGGGTAATTACATTATACATTATACAATCATACGTTATATACTACATTTAAGTTTTCATAGGTGTCATCTAGGATGAGCAAACAAAATGGTTAAACAATAAAGCCACTCCTCACAGACTGTGAAGTTTCAGGGTGGTCTTTCATTTTCTCCCTGAGGTGACCAAGGACCCAGGCTCTCTCCATGGCCCTGCCGTATCACTCATGGTGTACGCTTCTGGCGAAGGCTGGTTCCCTTTATGGTCAGGTGACATGCTTCCCTGTTCATGTTCAAGGGGAAGAGAGCCTGGACTACCTTTCCTTCTTTTTTTTTTAATATTTATTTTTTAGGTGTAGATGGACACAACACAATGCCTTTTATTTTTATGTGGTGCTGAGGATTGAACTTGGGTCCAGCCCGTGCTAGGTGAGCGCTCTACCGCTGAGCCACAATCCCAGCCCTGGACAACCTTTCTTTTAAGATAGAGGAAGCAGCAGGCTTGGTTGACATGCCAGTCATCCCAGTGAGGGTGATCTCAGGAGGCTGAGGCAGGAGGATCACAAGTTCGAGGCCAGGCTCAGCCATTTAGTCAGTCCCTGTCTCAAAAACTTGAAAAAGGCATGGGGATGTGGGGATGCAGCTCAGCGCTAAAGTGCTTCTGTGTTCAGCTTCCAGTAACAAAAAGCGGGAGGGGAAAGGCAGCAGTAAAGTTTTCCATAAGCTTCCAGAATCCTCTTCTGAAGTCTCATTGGTCAGACTTGGTTCACATGCCCTTCTGAGCGCATGGGGGATGGTCTTACTCATAGACCAGTCAAGACCATCTCTGTAGCTGATGTCAGTTTCCAGACTGCATGGCTGCTAATCAGGGAGAGGGGTGGAGTGGGTGTTGCACCCCGAAACTGGGCTGGACATTGCTGGGGGGCACCAGCATCCATTCCCACCTCCCTGTAGGGTGCCTTCCAGATGCCTGGGAGGAGAGCTGACATCATTTCCCAGGCTGCTTTGCGGCAAGGTTACTAGCAGTGAATTAACTTCTGCCAGTTGGACTCCCCTCCTTGAAAGTTGGATGGCGGAAGTGGGCAGGGACCATATTCCTACTGCTTTTGACTCTTGCTATTCTCAGGATGGCCCTGGAGATGCTGCAGAGCTCTATAGCTGCATTGCAGCATTGAGCCACAGCACAGTGGGGGATGGGAGATGACCACCCAGCCAGTGGCAGGGGCTTCCCGATCTCTGGTGCTGATCAGGGATGCGGATCCTGTGTTCTCGTGTGTCATGTGCTGTGGCCTTGAACTCAGAGTTGCGTTGCAGACTCCCCTCCGTTTCTTATTGTGGAAGGGGCAGTAGCTCCTGGCTATAGGACTTCTGATGTAGAGTTCTGGATGTCCAGCTGAGGATGTTACATCTGTCAGTTCAATTTAGTCAGCAGCCAGTTCCTTGTATTAAACATTTTCTGCTTCAAAGGGATCTAATACATGCATATAAGATCTGATCTAGAGTGGTTTCTGTTCCCTGCCCCTAAAATAGATATAATGGAAGCAACAGCTGATCAGGACAGTGTGCAGGTGCAGAGGGCTGTGAGTGGAGGGCTGAAGAATACAACAGGTGCCCTGCCCCTCAAGACCCCATTGGGGACTGGAGGTGGCCCCACATCTGCTGTTATTACTATTATTATTTTATGTGATACCATTACCATTTATTCTGCTCTTATTTAGCTTTTGTTGTAGTTGTAGATGGACAGCATGCCTTAATTTTATTTATTTATTTATTTTTGCAGTGCTAAGTTCTGAACCCAGCGCCTCACACCTCTGAGCACTCTGCCACTGAGCCCCAGCCCCAGCCGTACATTTGCTGGTGGCAACACCTAGCATACTTCTCAGGGAGCAGCACCTGTCTTGAAGTGTGTGAAGGGCACCAGGGCGAGGAGTTAAAAAGTGAGTGCCCTGCTAGAAAAGGAGGAACCCCAAGGAGGCCCAGCAGAGGTGTAGGTCCAGCCTGGCATTGGCCACACCCCCTCAAGGCACACAGGCCCAACTTCTTGGTGAGCCTGTGTTGGATTGGGGGCTAGTGGCCGGAGATGGTGGTCCCACTGAAGTTGTTTTTCCGTTTGTTTTTGGTGTTTCTAGACTCAAACCAGGGCCTGAGGCACACCAGGCAAGCACTCTACCACTGAGCTTCAGTGAAGTTTTTTAGTAAGGCAAGGACAGATTTGTATCTTGAAAGATCACCAAGACATCTGGTTATTCGACAGCTTCCTGAACTTTTGGTGACAGGTAGCTCAAAAGCTTTGGGGGCATCTTGCTGGTTTTAGTTGACTACTGAGCCAAAGCCAACAGTTTTATATGCTTGCCATTTGCTGCACGCATGACCATATACATGTGTGGATCCGGGGATAAAGTAGGGAAGAAAATGGGTTATCAACGGGCTGTCAGGCACAAACACGCCCACCGCTGGCTTTGTTTGGCAGGTGCAATTCAAACTGCAGTTGTTGGAGGGGAGACATACTCTTTCCAATTAGTCACAGGCGCCACTGTTCCCTAATGTCCTCGGGGGACTGGCTTCATTCACTTGTTATTAATGTGGCTCTTGAACCCTTCTTTGAAGTATATTTAGGATTGAGAATGCCTGGGACCTTGAACACGCAGGGAACCCCAGGCTGGTCAGTTTCCAGAGAGGGGGAATGGAGTGGGAAAATCCAGCTCTCTCTCAGACGCCCCTACCCCCACAATCACAAGGTCTGGAGGCGCTGGCAAGTGGCCAAAGTCCCTTTAATATCCCTGAATTGTGTTACAAGTAATACTGCTGAAGGTGGGCAAGGGATGAGGGTCTGGGGATGAGTTGGAGGGGGAGGGAGGGGGAGCGCCAAGCGCTCATACAAAATATGGCCAAAAGGCTTAGCATGCATGGAAAATTATTGCTGTCAGAAGTTTCTATTTACAGGGTCAACACCCTCCATAATTGCTTCTGCGACCCCTCTCTCTCCCACCTTCCCGGCAGTCTCCCTTCCCAGGGGGGTCTGGAGCTGGACAAAGCTCCGCCCACCTCTCTGAAGCCCTGGAGAGGGGCCCCTGCAGCTGGGGCCCCGCCAGTCTCCACCCTCTTTTGCGGCTAGAGAGGGGGAGGGGTGGGAGAGTCCAGGACTCGCCCGCAAGCTGGGCGCAGAGCGAAGGGGGCAGAGGCGTGTGCTTAAAGCAGAGGGCGCCAGGGCCCGTGCGCGTGGAGGTGTGTGCTTCGGTCCTCACGCGGGCATGCAAAAGCGCGGCGGAGGAGGTAGTGGCAGCCAACGGGCGGGCGGCTGGCAGCCCTAGGCCCTCTGCCCGGGAGAGTTGCATAGACGTGGCCGGGAGAGAGCGCTCCTCCCGGGGAGCGGGCCCCAGAGGGGTCCGGGGCTCAGTCGGTCCCTGGAACCTGGGGTCCCTCGAGAAGAGGAATAAATAAGAAAACGAGGAGGCTCCTCTCTCCGGGCTCCCTGGGGCAGGAGTGGAAGACTCAGGAGGGCGGGGACCTGCCCCGTGACAGGATCTCCTGGTGCCCCCCCCCCCGCCCCTCCCTGCCAGTTGAGGGTCAGCAGGTTCCCCTCTCATTCTGGGGCCCTCTTCTTTATTGAGTGCAGGCTCTGATGAGGGTGGGGCTTCTCCCGAGACCAGAAGGGGTGTGTGTGTGTGTGTGTGTGTGTGTGTGTGTGTATGGTGGAGGGGAGGGGAGGGGCAGCCTTTGCTGTCCCTTTCCTTGCCTGGCTCCCTGATCCCCCAGTCCAGCTGGGGAAGTCAGGCTGTCCCTGGGTGAGGCCAAGAGATAAATAGAATAATAAATAGATAAATAAATACACAAATAAATAATTGGAAGGGCCCAGCTGGACAAGGGGTGGGGACGTTGGTGAGGTGTTCCAGGCCTCCCCCATCCCGAAAATAAGGAGGGGTACCTGTAGTCCTGGGGATGGAGGAAAGTGCTCAGAGAATCTGGGGAGTGGGTAACTCCAGGCTGGAAGCCCAGGGAGGGGTTGTCCTGGGGAGATGGGCTACATGAGGGGGCAGGGCCCTGAACTGCCCCTCAGGTGCTCTAGGTTAGGTAAAGTCAGGGAATGAGAGCTGTAGAGGGAGGGGATCCGGAGAGAGCAGGAAGTGGGGATGAGTGGCGAGGACCCCCCAAGATTAAAGGTGAGAAATGGAAGGGGTGGGGGTGAGTGAATAGCTAGATCTAAGGCCCTGGCATGGAGGGGATGGAACAGACTGAGACCCAAAGGAGGGTTCTTAAACTAGATCCCCAGGTGGAAATACACAGGGAGACACAGCAGAGAGGCCCAGGGCATGGCCTGGGGTTGACTGTGTTCTTCCGGGCCTGAGTTAATGTGGTTAGGGGAAACTGTGGCAGACGTGGGTGGGTTTGGGCCTTCGATTTGGGGACTTCAAGAGAGGAATGAGACTTTGTTGAGAAGAAAGGTCTGAAAGAGCGGTGCAAGGTCTGAATGCGGACCTGGTGCCTGAGTTGGGAGCCTTGAAGGCGGACAGTGGAGTCAAGGTCCAAGCGGTGACAGGAAAGGATGGTATGGATAGGGCGCGCTGGGGGAGACAGTTCCAGAAGTGAGGTGTGAGTTTGGGGGCTTAAGAACAAACTTCCGGGCCAGGATGGGGGTCTCCGCGAGGGGCGTGGGCAGGGAAACGCAGCTGGGGGTTGGAGAGGGCGCTGCGGGCGCAGGTGGGGGGCCCGGGGCGCGTGGAGAGCAAGTTCCGGCGCGCCGGCCGGGCGGGAGGCTCAGCTGGCCGGGCCAGCGGGGGGCAGCGGGGGAGGTTCGGCGCCCTTGACGCAGGCGGCCTCGCAGTGCTTGTGGAGGTAGGACTTGAGCGCGAAGCTCTTGTCGCACTGGCGGCAGCGGTAGTGCTTGAAGGCCGAGTGCGTCTGCATGTGCGCGCGCAGGTTGGAGCGGTCGGCGAAGGCCTTGCCGCAGTGCGCGCAGCCGAAAGGCTTCTCGCCGGTGTGCGAGCGCATGTGGCCCTGCAGCAGCCAGGGCCGGGAGAAGGCCTTGCCACACACGCCGCACTTGTGGCGCAGGTTGTGCGTGAGCACGTGCATGGCAAGCGCGGGCATGGACACGTACGCCTTGCCGCACGTCGGGCACTTGCGCGCCAGCTGGCTGTCCAGGCTGCGGTGCGTCTGCTTGTGGCGGCTCAGGTTCGACGACGTGGCGTACGTCTTGCCGCACTCGGCGCACGCGTGCCGGTGCCCGCCGCCCGCCGGCGCCCCCGTGCGCCCCGCGCGCTCCCCGGCGCTCCCGGCGTCCCCCGCGCCCGCCGCATCCCCGCCGCTCCCGCCCCGCCGTCGCCGCGAGCGCCCGTCTGAGATGAAGAAGGCGTCCATGGAGTAGCTGTCGGTCACGGCCGCCTCCCCGCGGAAGTAGCGCGCGGACAGGCTCGACTGCGGGCTTTCGGGGTCGCTGTACTCCTCCGGCGCCGCGGGCGGGTACGCGGGCTCGGCCGGCGCCAGTTCCAGGCCTGGCTTCTGGTCGCCATCGTAGCTGCTTGGGGGCAGGCAGTGCGGGACATAACCTGGAGGGGCGAGAAGTGAGAGGGATGTTGAGCCGGAGGTCCCGGGGGAAGGCTTTCCTCTTTGACCCTGTCCCTCCCGGCGCCCCCTAGCTCCGAGTCCCCGTGGCAGCACTTGGAGAATGATGGCCTCTTGTAAGACAGTGTCGCACGCTTTGAAGGTAGTTATTACACCCACTTTGCAGGTGAAGAAACTGAGGCAGAGACATTCAATCAGTCTAAACTAACAGCAGTGAGAGGTGGAGCCAAGTTTCAAACCCTGTGTTCTCTTTGTCCAAGAACATTCTGCTTTTCCAGTCCTATAACATCTATGGATTTCAGCTTTCCCACCCAAACATGGCGCATGCCTGTCACAGATACTCACCAGGCTGAAGTGGAAAATCACTTTCGCCCAGGAGTTCCAGGCCAGCCTGGAATTACAAGTTTCACTTAAAAACCTTCCAGCGTCGTTGGAAGGACCAAGTAAATGATGGCAGTGAAGGTGTCCTGTATGGAGCCCTAACTGTATGCCAGGCTCTGCCTTGATGCTTTACATACGTTAACTTATTTAATTGCCACAGGAAGTAGGTATTATTAGAGCCCCCATTTTACATGTAAGGAATTGAGAAAGAGAAAGCGCACACAATAATTGCTATATAAATGTTAGCTATTATAATTATGCCTTTTACTTGCTTGAAAAAGTGACTTTGCTGAAGACTGTTTAATTGTCTGCCTCCTGCTCTACGCTTTGAGCTTCCCAGGGCTGGATCTGTGCGAGCAGTGACTGGCTCCCAGTAGATGTGCCATGACTAGGTGTGGCATAGACCAATTGCACTCCTTTGAGACCCACTTCCTGGGGTTGCTGGAGGATTCACAGGGGGTCAAGTGTGTGGCATGTAATAGCTGTGGCACAGACGGAACCTCCTTGTGTTTGCTCCCAAACCTGCTCTGCCCTGCGCTCTAGAAGTCTTCCTGAGCCCCCATGACAGTCGCCTCCCCCTCCTCCTGCCCTTGGCTGGAGTTGGACCAGAAATCCTGTCTGTCACGTGTTTGAGTGACTGGTGGATGGGCAGGCTGGCTCTCCCCCAGGGGATTCCATAGGGTCTTCTGGAGGACAGGGGCCACCTCCGCTTGTTTCTGCCTCAGGTGGCCTTGCCTGGTCCAGCACCTTCCCTGGGCTCCCTGGAGGGTTTCTGGCAGACATTGAACAAACTTATGAGGTTCTGCAGGGGGGAGTGGCAAATCCCATTGGACCCTCTGCATCTGACCCCTGCAATCTGTAACCGCCCCCTCTCCAGGGAGCAGATGGGAGCCTTGGGCTTTGGAATCCTGAGGCCCGATTCCTGTGACCTCCAGACTTCCGCTGGGCCTCTAGTCACGGGGCCTGGCTGACTCAGCCTTTAGGGTTTTGCCTCCTGTTTGGCATTTGGGTGGGCACGGGGCAAAGTCTCCCCGGCACTGAAGGTGAGGGTGTGCTCTTATCTTCCCCGTCCCTTCAGCAACTGGTACAGGTGGCTGTGGGCTGTGGCATGGGTGACTCAGGTGCAAGGTGCTCTGTGGTCAGAAGCCGGGTGGGGGCAGTGGTGGTGGCAGATTTTAATCCAAGGGGGAGGAGGAGCCCAGCTTCCACCTGCCTCTGGTGTGGAGGTTGTCCCACCTCCCATGCCAGGTAGTGGGTATCGCTTGGGACTAGGTTGAATGCTTGCCCGGCCCTCCAGACCCCCTCCTCCTCCTGAGTCCTCTTGCATGGTAATCACGGATGGTGGTGACAATAGTGACATTGACCGAGCACATGCTGGGTGCCAGGCTCTGGGCTGAGTGCTTCCTTCCCATCCCCGCCCAGGTCACCCCAACAGTCCTTATTTACACATAAGGAACCTGAGGTACAAGTGGCAGTGGTCCGTATGCCCAGGTGCACTGCTCCCTGTGAGGTCCTGCACCCCTGGAGGTCCTGAAGAAGGGTCTGTGACTCAGCTGCCACTTACCACGAGGGACCCAGCCAGTGGGCATTTGATAAGTTTTGAGGAATGAATGATAAAGACTTGCCCGGCAGCCCAGCAGGGTCTGCTGTAGGGAGGACAGGTCTGCATCTCACGTGGCCTGGGCCCTGAAAGGTGAGGACAACCTAGTTCCCCAACACAGATTCTAGCTGAGCGCCTTGGGCGAGTCCATCTTTCTGTGCTTTGGGTCTTTTTTCTGGAAATGACGAGAGTATGGGATCCACTCGGAAGCCGTGAATGATCATGTGACCCGGGCTTTGCACTGTTCTATTATTAAAGAAGAATGACATACTGGTAAAGAGCACGACTTTGGTGCCAGACTGCCTGGATTGAGTTCTGGCTTTACCATTCCCAGCTGTGTGACCTTGAACAAACGATTTGTCCTCTGTCTGCCTCTACATTTTCACTAAAGAGTCCCCCAGTGAACAAGCAATAAATGAATAATACCATCGCTTCAAGAACACTAACGTGTCACACATGAGTTCGTTCTCCTCTCCTGACCCTGCCATTTTACAGATGAGAACCCCAAGGCGCAAGGAAGTTAAGCAACATGCCTAGGGTCATGCAGCAGGAAGTCAGAGCCAGGATTGCAGCCCCTTGCCTGGCCCCCAGTGAACCCACAACACATGTCAGCCACAATGACAGTCTCCCCGGCTGCATGTCTGTGCTTCAGTTTTCTTGATGTACACTCTGATAAACCTGCTGATGCTCTCTGGGCCTCTGTTTCCTCCTCCAGAATGGGTCATTTCCTCCCTCCCATGCTAATGAGAAAACTTCTGGTACACAGGAACTTCTGAACCTTGGGGCCCTCACTAGAATGAGTGTGCTGCCCACGGCGCCCTCTGCTGGCAGATGGCAGCACTGCAACTCCTTACTCCTGATGCTGATGTCTTTCTATAGAACTAGGGGTGCCTCAGGATGGCCTTCAGGGCAGACCTGATTGCCCAGTGGCTGAGAAGTTTGACATGGGTTGGGGACATCATATGCAAGTTTGGTCATGTTAGAAGGCGCTTCTAACTTGCTTTGAGGCTGACCAGGTTGCTTATCCTCTCTGGGCTCGGTCTGTGGGAAGAAGGTTGGGATGCTCTAAAGACTTTCTGCATTGTGGATGAATCAGTCCCTCCACCATGCCCTGTGTCCTCTCCACTCCCTGCTCCTTCAACTCGACTTCATTTTTCTCAGGTCCACAGACGTCTCCCTGCGTGTGCTTGGGCAAGTTCCTCAATCTCTGCTTCGTACGTCTGTATAAGGGAGTTCATAACAGGAGTGGATGAGTTAATGTGGGTAAAGTGCTTCGTACAAGGCCAGGCCCATAATAGCTAGCCTCTCAAGCTGCTAGGATCAATATTATTTCTACATTTGCTGGTGACATCCTAATCTGCCAGAGAGTAGGAAATACACAGAGGTATCTCAGGCTGCTCTGTGACTGTGGGAAAGCCACTTCTCCTCTCTGGGCCTCAACCCTGGAAAATCCTTTAGGACACTCTAAACCATGTTCTCCCCCATGCATGGAATACAGACAGGTTTGGGGTTCTTTCTCTGTCTCAGGAGTGACTAGAGGGCTGAGCTGCCTGTCTCCTAGCTGCTAGGTTGAGACAGTTCCCTTTTGTTTGGGTCCTAATAGAGGCCCAGAAGAGCTGGGACTCAAAAGAAAGGAGACCTGGCTGTCACCCTAGTCCATGCATACAGAACCCTAGCTGTGAGACCCTTGGGCAAGTCATGCTGCCTCTTTGGACTGAAATTTCCCATTTGAGAGATGGTTACCTGATTTACACCTGTCATGTAGGGGCATGGGAAGGGCTCAGAAACACAGAGGTGTACACATGTGACCTGAGAATGACTTTGGTTTTTCCTGCCCAAGAGTCTTGATGTTTTAGACTGAAGATCAAGAATCCATTTATGGGGCTGTGGTTGTGGCTCAGTGGTAGAGAGCTTGCCTAACGTGTGAGGCCCTGGGTTCGATTCTTAGCACCACATATAAACAAATAAATGAATAAAGGTCCATCAATAACTAATAAAATTAAAAAAAAGAATCCATATATATATATATATATATATATATATATATATATATATATATGGCCAAAGGAGTTCTGGAAAAGGAAATCTATGAAAATCAATGTGCTGGGTCCTCTGCAGACACTGTGTCATTCAGCTGCTCTGCCCCCTGGGTGGGAGTGGGGACCCGTAACAGATCCTGGGACCACCTGCCTTCTGGCTAGCACCAGCCCTCCCTGTGCACCATGCACCACGCTGTACTGCCCCAGAGGCCCAGGGAGGGCAGAGCCTGCTGGGGAGGGAAGGTGGTATCTCGCGGGGCGGTGGGGTGTTGGAATAGGGAGAAGCTGCTGTTCTAGAAAGTGCTCCAGCACCCTGTGAATTTTTGTAAATAATATTTAACAGTAATGACTCACAGTTATTGAGCACTTACTGTGTGCAGGGCTCCCTGCTAAGTGCTTCATGCACATGAGCTCAAGTTTAAGATAGGTCTTCCCAGGCCCTTGTGCCGAAGCCCAAGCCCAGAGAGGGCCCTTGACCTGCCTCAGGTCACACAGAACATCTCACCAGAGTCAGGGTGGCCTCTTTTCCTAATGGAGCCAGTCCAGGGCTCCTTTCCCCAGTGTCTCCCTGCCTCCCAGGGTGCCAAGCTGCCTGAGGCAGTCTCAAGCCCCAGTCCCTCCCTGTCCTGATGGGCAGGAAAAGAGAGGGGCTCAGTGGGAGACGGCTTCCCAGGTGGCCTGGTTTCCTGAGGAGGCCTGGCCTGCGCTGGGGGGCTATGGGGGCTGCTGCATGGGTATATTTAGAGCTGCTTCTTGCTGTGCCAGGGCCTCGGGCCTCGAGAATTAGCTCCAGCCAGCTGAGCAGAAAGCCAGGTCTGTCAGCAGCAAAGCGGGATAAAAATAGTTTCTCCTGTCTGCTTGCAGAGCTGGGCACAGGGGCCGGTACCTCCCCCTCCCCTTGTTATAGCATCTTTGTTCCCGGTTCCCTGGGCGCTGGACCAGAAATGACACCCACCTCCTCCAA